TATAGCCTTTTTCACACTTACTGCGACGTTCAATTTTTCCCTCCATGTCACACCAACCTTCTACTTTAACATTCTTATAAACTCCTGTTGTGGTGATTCACGACAATGAATTAATTCCATCAAGAAATAGCCGAACAGAAACCGCCTGTGCACGAGCAGAGGTAACTTTCAGACTGTCAGGAGGCGCACAAGCTTGAAAAGTGCGAGTTCAGAGAACGATAAATCTACAAGGCCACCATTGGTTACCACGTGCCCCGGACAGCCCATGCGGAGGCGGACTTTGGTGAATACGGCCTAGCTGCCAACCGCTAGCGCAGTGGATGTGAAAGGGCTCACGACAGGAACATAGACAAGAAGGAACATAACGAGTGAACGTATCTTGGCATTTAGCCATCCTATTTGTTTGCACACCAGCTCTGCATATTTGGCCTGTCAATGCAGCCATGTTCCTGGTTTCCTGCTTTCTGATAGCGCGGTATGGCAAGCTGGTCCAGGCGTACCTACAATGCAACACGGACGATCGATTTTCCGAAAAAAATTCAACTGTGAAAAGCAGCGGCCACTGAGGTTAGCTTAAGTGACTCAAGAGTAGGCAATCATTGATGAAGAGGGCAACCACAACTCGAGGAGTCTGGAGTGTTGGTTACCATCACGTCAACGTTTGTCTTCAACCGCTTTCATGGTTTGGTTACTGCCTGATCAATGTTTACCTACAGCCACTCACGTAATTTGCTTAACGCATGCGCACCCACTGTTTCACTCCTGTTTTGATTATGTCATTACCATCTGCAGCGTGACTAACCGAGGTTACTGGAATCTTACCCTAAGACAAACAATGCAAGCGCATCTTCTCTCACAACAAACTTTTTTATATGCGGAACAACGACAGCAGGGTGCCGACGCTCGTCACTACACACAGCACCTTGACCAGAGTCAATTCAAACCCACGCAAGACTCACTGTGCGAGGAAAGTCTGGACCCGATATCGCTTTGGATTAAACGACAAGAAACAGGCCAGATTTCAACACGCTCGGTCTAGACCGGAATTTAATTCATCTGCGTCCTGCGAACCTCCGCTTTACCTACTGCGACTTATCAAGCGAAGAACTCGATAGGTCTCTCTTCCTCTTTGTGTGTCATTCATTTGTACCAATGTCTCTGTTAGCCACTATACATAACTGTTTATTGTTGGTCTTATTCACCTTCTGACTACTTCGAGCAAAAGGTATTAGCACTAACAGGGGCTATTTGCCTGCACAATGCTTTTAGCTGCGAGACCTTTGCGAGTGAAATTAACCTTTCTGCGAAAAACTTTTGCATTCCGTTGCATTTTGTGTTCAAACCAAGGACCACCCTAATCCACGATGACACTTTCGCAGTTCATCAAATTTCATTGTCCACTGAATCGGTCACACAACTGGCGAGAAAATTCTAGTGGGATAGTTTTCTAACGTCAGTGGGACTCTGGACGCTTAGATGGGGCATTCTGAGCTCGATTGTCTGTCTTTGTTATTCAATCAAAGACAACGTACCTTTCAAAGATTCAACTGCATTATGCTTTCTCAAGTGACGAACTTGCTGGTATTTACAGACAGATTAACTCAAGGCAAGGACAAGGAATTCATAACGGATGCCATATTTTTCGACTTCTCACAAGTACTTGGTTGAGTACCAAACGTTCTGCTGCTCCACAAACTCGAGTCTTACTGGATTCAAGGGAAAATCCCACACTGAACCACGGCGTTTCTATCAGTCAGATCATTCTGGGTGAAAGTGGGCTCAACCTACTCCTCTCCAGCGCCGATATCCATTAGGCTGCGTTTTGGGAGCACTGGTGTTTCCGCTATACGTAAATGACCTTCCAGATATTTTTGCCTGTCCGCGTATATTTTTGCGGACGACTTGAGATCCTAAAGATCCAATCTGGAGTCCTCCCTTCCCTCTGCTTGGAAGGAAGCGATTGTCCCGCCAATCTACAAAACTGGTGACCGACTATCGCTTGGCAGCTATGGGCCTATAAGCCTCACTAGCGTGCCGTGCAAGGTGATGGAACGCATTCTGAAGCGAGCCATCCTAGATCACCTTACTTCCAGCAACCTGATATCTCCAGCTCAACACGGATTTCTCCCAAACCGTTCTTGCGTAACAAACATGCTCGTGTTTATGGACAGCTTAACCCAAGCCAAGGACGAAGGACTCATATCGGATGCCATATTTTTCGAC